AAGAGTGACTGATGGCACTTCAGGGTATAAATATTTTGTCTTCCTTCTGTGCCAACTGCAGGGCAACCGAAGTGGATTAATAGCTTCAGGATCAACGCTACATGTAGTCCTCAACTTAGAACCCATTTGTTTAGCGGCCCTTCGAAGTTAACGACGGCACCGACATTAAGTGACTTGCAACCAGGCCTCTCACTTTAAATGGCTTTGGCAGCCTCCCTAAGTTCACACGAGCAAAGTTTGGGCGCTTGGCAGCCAGCGTGTAATTGCGACGGTCGCAGCATCCCGGGAGCCGCGCGATTGCCACTTCCAGTGTTTACATGTGGTTTCCCGACAAAGTCGATGGGGAAAGCTGTGTTTGCTTAATGACCGTGTGAGTCACTTAACAACTACAGTGATTTACTTAACAACCACGGCCTCCAGAAATTGTGGGCGCTCCATCACTGGAGGTTTTTAAGAAGAGACTGGACATTCACCTGTCTGAGACGGTGTAGGTCAGGGCTTTTCAACCAGTGGTACGGGTACCACTTGTGGTACATTGGCACCTGGCAGGTGGTACGCGACCATCCTAGAAAAGTGGTAGTGGGAGGGGAATGAGCTGAACCGGTGGCAGCACCGCACAAGCCTGAGCGAGAGATGGCTGGAACTGCAGGGCTGTCAGGGCTCAGCGGAAGCACCAGGATCAGCACCAGGATCCAGCTGGAGCTCGGTGCTGATCCTGGCCGTTCTGCTGGGCCCAGAAGAAGCGTTGATCAGCTGGAATGTTGCAGCCTCTCCAGGGTCTTGTGATTTACATTCAGATGCTTGGCAACTGATTCATATTTATGACGGTCACAGTGTCCCAGGGTCATGTGAAGTGACCAAAACCTGCTGCAACCACCCAGCAGATAGGGGGGGGGATAAAAACCAAACACCCCCCCACCCCACCCCTGCTGCCAATCCTCAACAGAAATGCTCACAACAATGAAAACCTCCGACAGGAGGAAGAGTGCTGCCAGGCAGGCAGGCAGGTGTCTTGCTCGGCTGTGGCTTGGGGGACACTTTTTTCAGTGCCATTGTAACTTTGAACAGTCACTAAGCGAACTGTTGTAAGTCGAGGACTACCTGTACTTTATCACTTTTTTCCTTTTTTTTTTTTTTTGGTCAAGTTTCTGACACCTTGCTAGGTGACTGGTGGTACTCGGATGTTGCCATATCCTAAAAGTGGTACAATGGGTGAAAAGGTTGAAAAGCCCTGGTGTAGGTTCTCCTGCTTGAGCAGGGGGCTGGACTAGAAGACCTCCAAGGTCCCTTCCAGCTCTATTCTATTCTAAAGGAGGACAGAAAATTGGGTGCGACTTACTAAACCAACCGCCTTGCTTAGCAGTGGGGATTCTGATCCCGATTGTGGTCGTAAGTCGAGGACTACCTGTATTCTATTCCCTGCTGCAGAAGGTATTTATCTTAATTCTACAGTTTCTATCGGAGGGGGGGGGATTAAAGGAATCCCTTTGAAAGTCACAGTGGATAAATAAATTCACCAAGCAGCTCTCGAGCGGCCTCTGGAAGGGGGCAGCTGGGCGGCGTCTCTCTCTTCTTACCAACTGCTCCTGCTCCTGTGTTCTCACACAACTGATGCAGCTTGTGTGAACTCGAGGGATACTCCAGATCTTTATTGGAAAGATTTCAGTAGGCAAATATCAAACCACTATTTTAAATACACAGATTTACCAAACACTTTTTACAGACGACTAACATTAACACGGTTAAATACCTATATTTTTGTTTTTTTTGTATATTTTCACCAGCTAAAAAGGATCCAAACACAAGATACGGAACATTTAAGATTATCGTTCATTTAAAAGGAGCTTATTGCTTACGTCAGCAAGCAGCAAATGAGGGCACGGGAGTTTTAACTGAAGGAAAACTACTTTCTATTTACCAGTGGCATGAAGAAAAAAAAAACCACAGCATGTCACGAAGCACTGCTTTTTTTTTTTTTTGCTTTTTTCTTTTTTCTTTTTTCCTCTTATGCCTAGTAGTGTCATAGAATCAAGCAGCACGTACCGGATCAGGAACAACTAACTTTTAAAATATGTATTATATACCAACGTTTGGGAAAAAAATGCCTCACAAATGGGACTGTACACACTTGTATCACTATGAGATGAAAGAAATGGACATTTTTCCTATTTGTAACAATATTTTTGTACTGGACCGCAGTGGGAATCCATTGACCGGCTGGTTCCTGCCGAGTCAAACGTGGCGAGCAGCAGGTAATCCATCTATCAATCCACAGGCATGAAGTTAACTTTGTAAGCACGAGAGAGAGCATGATCCACAGCCAGTTACTTTCCAACGACACCTGCATTTTGGGAAGAGCATCCAGCTCCTGCAGCACCTATAAACTTGGGACAAGTCTTCAGAGAATTGCCCTGAAGACAGCAGTTGGATCCATCTCGCCTCGACTGATCTGAAAGGTTTTTCCAGACAAGATACCCCAGATTGCTCTAGTTTAATCTCCCGGCCACGCTCTACGTAACGTGATACACCTAAGCTTGTCAAATGCAAACAAATGGTTCTCCTCTCCATCAGTAATGCCTAAAGTGAAGGCTTTCAATCTCCTTTCGTGGCATAAAACCACTATTTCCTCTAGGTCAGTGGACTTCAACGCCCGTGTCTGGGGAATTCTGGGAGTTGAAGTCCACCCATCTTAAAGTTGCTCAAGGTTGAGAAACGGGCTCTAAATGCAAGCTTCGTGAGGTGTGGACTTCAACTCCCAGAACGGCTGGAGAATTCCTGGAGTTGGAAGTCGCACACCTCGTAAAGTTGTCGAGGTTGACAAACACGGCTCTACAGAATTCTTTCCGAATATGCCATCCTTCAGGATTTCCAATTAGGATGTCCGGGTTTCGAGAGTTGTAGTTCCAAAACTTCTAAAAAGCAGGGGTCCTCAACCTTGGCAACTTTAAAACTTGCGGACTTCAACTCCCAGAATTCCTCAGCCAGACACGCTGGCTGAGGAATTCTGGGAGTTGAAGTCCACAAGTCATAAAAGGGCCAAGTTTGAAGACCCCTGAACTAGACCTTCAAACACTGAGTGAGAAGGACCCCAGCCAGCAGAATTCTGGGAGTTGGAGTCCACAGATATTGTCTGTGGCACATAATGGTTATGTGTCAAAAGCCTAAATTGTCTTTTTTTTTAAAGTTTTTTTTAAAGTTGCCACGGTTGAGAACCCCTGCTCTAAAGGGTGCCTTGTTAAGGACTACCTCGATTTTTTTTTTTAAGTCATTAGACCACAAATCAAAGTTCAGAAGCATTCTCTAACCATCGGTAATCTCAAATTTTCTGTTAAATATTTAAATTTGCACAAATGGGCAGAGTGCATCGGTTAGTTTTACTGATCAGAATATTGTGAAATTTGGGAGAGGTTTTTGAAGATAGTGTAAGCGGTGTGCCGAATATTTTAAGTGTTTAAGCACCTAAAAGAAGTCTTCTGTGACTTCTTTACGTGACGCCGTTACATCCCAGTTACCTAGCTTATATGAAAATTAGTGCTCTTGTTTCAAGAATAGTTTACTCGTCAGGATTAAAATAAAAAAATGGAAGGCAATCCTCAGATTCTCACCCCGAACTGGGCAATTTAAATCTCCAAATTTTTACATAGTTTTTCTAATGTTGGTAGAGGAGAATGGCCACGTTCATACTTTATTTCTTCATCTGATTGCGTTCCCAACTGCTCTGGACATCCCTAATAGCTTCATTTCCTATTCTTACAGCCTCTTCATTTGAACATGCAGGCGCTCCAAGCAACTGGAGCAAAAAACGTCTCCGACACGCAATTATTCCTAAAAAAAAAATAATCAAAAAATCACAACCTCTTACCTGGGAAAGCAGAACTGACGACAAATTGGCGGTTTAAATGAGTTTTCATAGGACAGTGTGAATTGTATCTGAACTGATTTTTACATCAGTTTGACACCTGAGATAAAAAGCATTGGGGAAGGAGAGCGCAGTGGCTCGAATCGGCCACAAATGAGGATGAATCTTAAGCCGTTTAAGCATTATTACGAGGTTTAGGGGGGGTTTCCGTTTAAAAGGCTAAATTGTCCTTAAATAATACCTCCCTCCCCCCCAAAGCCCCACACAAGTTAACTTGTGATTTCAGTTATCGTTTCAATTTTAGCTGCAAGAAATCATCTTTTCAAAAACGAACAAAAAAACCTACAAAAACTTGACATGGCGTTGCTTCCCCTTGCCCCCTCTTCTCAATGGAGGAGGGGAAAAAAATTTAAAAAGATCGAATAAATCTCTCAAACTGCATCTGAAGGGTTGGGAGGGCCTAGGTGCTAGATTAAACCTCCCATTATGGCTTTTAACAACAGACCTGCAAAACGACCTGATAACGTAATTTTTGCTCTTCGGATTAAAGAAGCCCAAATCCCCAAGGATTCCTTACGCCTTCCCTACTTCCTCTCCTCTCCTCCACTTACAAAAAAAAACCAAAAAAAACCCCCGATGGGTCTAGAAGGTCTTTCTGAAAATATTGCTCCATAGACCTTTCTCTCTCTCTCCCTCTCTCTCTCTTTTTTTTTTTGCAAATTCTTTTCTTTGTTTTTTTTTTTAATGGCACTTTCCTGTCTTGTCCGGCGAGTCCATAAGAATATCCAGTCCCCACGAAGAAATGAAGCTACTACACAGAGTGCATACGTGATCCGTGTGTGTTTGTACATGAGAGAGAGAGAAGATTGAATGTGTCCAGGAAATTGCTAGGGAGACCGATGTGCCAATCCTTGTTTGTTGTGTTTTTCCCAATTTTGGAGACGAAAACACTGATTCCTAGGATGTTTTTGGAGACAAACACTGATTCCTTAGGAGGTATTTACACGAGTCGAGCCTTCCGCCGGTATCCTGATTCTGAAACGCTCCCTCTGAATTACTTCTAATTCTGTGAATGTCTAGACTATTGAAGAAGAAGAAAAGAAAAGAAAAGAAAAGAAAAAAATACAAAGGAGGGAACGTGTTATTTTTTACAACTCCACAGCAGCCACGGGTCTGGTATACAGGGACTTGGCCTTAGCATCAACAAAATGCTGTCGCCGTGACCTTGATGGCAGCCAAGGGACACTTGCCCAGGACGACTTCTTAGGAACTTGTTCCTACGGCCATTTAGGAGGTTGGGTGAGCAGAGGGTTAAACTTTCCGGGCAGAAAACGGGCCTTTGCTCAAAGAGAAGACCGTGGAGCTTCGGCTTCAGTCTGGCTAACCGTTGCCACCGCTTCACGTCGCAGAAATGAAAATGAGAGAAAATGGAAGCTGGTCTTCCCCAGGACTTGAACCACTCGCCTTCAGGCCCGGCGGAGATCGGGGCCTCCGCCGGCGCCACGTCGCGCTCCCCTGGGCGGGGACAGCCCAAGTTCGCAGAGCCCCGGAGAGGGTTGTGCCCTTCGGGCGTAGCGCCCTCCCTTCTCTTGCCCTCGCCCAAGACGCCTTGGCTCAAAATCGCCCTCTTAGGGACGCCGGCACTGAAGACTTGATCTGGGGAGAGGCGTTTGGCACTGTGGAGTTTGCCAGCTTCCGTTTTCCTCAGGTCTAGGCAGCCCGGATCTTCGAAGACGTTGATGGAGGAGCCGGCGCTCAAGGTAGTTCGGTCCGTGAAGGAATCCACTCGGCCGTCGTAGCCGAGATCGGCAGGCGCCGAGACCTGGTGCTGAGGCCACTGTCTCTTGCAATCCCCCTGGTTCTCTTTGTCGTCTCCGCTGTCCTCTTGCCCGCCTTCGAAAGAGTTCTCGGTCCACTCGGAGTCCTCGCCGACGCTGACGGAGGCGCTCATGTCCCTGAGGAAGACCACGATGACGGTGATGTTGTCGCTAGAGCCGGCGTCTCGAGCGGAAGCCACCAGCTTGTGGGCCACCATGCTGCTGTCCCCGTTGTTCTCCTTCAAGTGGTCAGCCACCACCTTCACCGCCTCGTCGGGATTCATCGTGTCGTAGAAGCCGTCGCAGGCTAGGATGAGGTAGTCTTCCGATCCATCCAGCGCTGTGGAGGCAGAATCTGCGTCTCCACAGATGTATGGCTTGTGCTCTGCATCACCTGGAACAGGTAAAAAAAAAAGAGAGAGAGAGAGATTTAGGCTTCTGACACATAACCATTAAGCCAGGGATCTTCAAATTCGGCCCTTTTATGACTTGTGGACTCCAATTCCCAGAATTCCTCAGTCGGCCATTTTGATTAAACCGTGGGCTTAGAGCCAGACCAGGGGCCTTCAAACTCGGCCCTTTTATGACTTGTGGACTTCAACTCCCAGAATCCCTCAGTCGGCCATTTTGATGAAACCATGGGCTTAGAGCCAGACCAGGGCCCTTCAAACTCGGCCCTTTTATGACTTGTGGACTTCATTTCCCAGAATTCCTCAGTTGGCCATTTTGATGAAACCGTGGGCTTAGAGCCAGACCAGGGGCCTTCAAACTTGGTCCTTTTATGACTTGTGGACTTCAACTCCCAGAATTCCTCAGTCGGCCATTTTGATGAAACCATGGGCTTAGAGCCAGACCAGGGGCCTTCAAACTCGGCCCTTTTATGACTTGTGGACTTCAATTCCCAGAATTCCTCAGTCGGCCATTTTGATGAAACCATGGGCTTAGAGCCAGACCAGGGGCCTTCAAACTCGGCCCTTTTATGACTTGTGGACTTCAACTCCCAGAATTCCTCAGCCAGGCACGCGTGAGTTGAAGTCCACAAGTCATAAAAGGGCCGAGTTTGAAGATTCCTGTGTTAAGCCATCTATCTTTTCCTCTGCCTTTTAAGGCCGTAAAAAAAAAACACCACATAAAATACTAACAGTGAACGGGAAGCTTGAGGAAAGCTGTTATGTGACAATGAGGCTCCCCAATTTTATCTGAATGCATCAAGTCACTAGCTCTCATTAACATAGGTGCTTTTTCAGGAGGCAACTGGACTTCCTTGTTTTTCTTTGAAGAGGTTTCACTTCTCATCCAAGGAGCTTCTTCAGCTCCGACTGAATGGTGGGGAATGGAAAGATTTATACTCCTTGCAGACAGCCGGTCATTTTGCCTTCTTTTAGAGAGTCGTTGAGGCTACTTGGAGGCTGACCTGTGTCCTCGGGGTCACCTGAGTGGTGCAAATGGGTGTGGAACACAATCCTTTCAGCAGTTCCAAGTTCCAACCTGGAACTAAGGAGACATTTTCTGACAGGGAGAACAATTAATCAGTGGAACAGGTTGCCTCCAGAGGTTTTGAATGCTCCAACACTGGAGGCTTTTAAGAATCTGTTTGTCCAGATTGATATAGGGTCTCCTGCATGAGCAGGGGGTTGGACTAGAACAGGGCTTTTCAACATTTTCAACCAATGTACCACTTTTAGGATACGGCAACATCCGAGTACCACCAGTCGCCTACCAAGGTGTCAAAAACTTGATGACCAAAAAATAAAAATAAAAAAGGAAAAAAGTGATAAAGTACAGGTAGTCCTCGACTTACAACAGTTCGCTTAGTGACTGTTTGAAGTTACAACGGCACTGAAAAAAGTGCCCTCCAAGCCACAGCCGAGGAAGACACCTGCCTGCCCGCCCGGCGGCGCTCTTCCTCCTGTCTGAGTTTTCCATTGTTGTGAGCATTTCTGTTGAGGATTGGCAGCGGGGGTGGGGTGGGGGGGTGTTTGGTTTTTATTCCCCCCGTCTGCTGGGTGGTTGCAGCAGGTTTTTGTCACTTCACATGACCCTGGGACACTGTGACCGTCATAAATATGAATCAGTTGCCAAGCATCTGAATATAAATCACAAGACCCTGGAGGTGCTGCAACATTCCAGCTGATCGGCGCTTCTTCTGGGCTCAGCAGAAGCGCCAAGATCAGTACCAAGCTTCAGCTGGAGACTGGTGCTGATCCTGGTGCTTCCACTGACAGCTCCGAAGAAGCGCCGATCAGCTGGAAAGCGGCACTGATCCTGGCGCTTCCGCTGAGCCTGACAGCCCTGCAGCTCCAGCCGTCTCTCGCTCAGGCTTGTGCGGTGCTGCCATCGGTTCAGCTCATTCCCCTCCCCCACTACCACTTTTCCAGGATGGTCGCGTACCCCCTGCCGGGTGCCAATGTACCACAGGTGGTACCCGTACCACTGGTTGAAAAGCCTTGGACTAGAAGACCTCCAAGGTCCCTTCCAACTGTGTTACTCCGTTACAACTGACAGCATCAAAATCATCCTTGCGTTTTGCTTTTAATCCCTTCTCTAGCATTTTCTGATGCTTTACTTGGCTTTGTTCCAAACAATACTCGGTACTGAGTAGAACATTTTCATTCAATTTGCCCACTCTGGCTGCAGCGTTTCCTGCCTATCAGCCATCCACATTAACAATTGTAAAGGACTACAAAGCGTAGCATTTTTTTTTCTTCCTTACCAATGGCTCGGGAGACAGAAAGACTTCCGTTGACTCGCCATGCTCCAAACCAGACCACACAGCCTCCAAGGGCCTCAATGCGTTTCTTCTCATCCTATAAAGCAGAAGACAATTCACCCGTTGGTTGAGCTTCCGGCTGCACTTACAGTACACGTATTTCCTCAATTTTCATCTTAAACCATAAAAACAAATTATTCAATCTCTAGATATATCTCCTTAAAAAAAAACACCTCCCTTTTTATGATCCTGTAATCCCTTAATTCGGGGGGAGAGTCAGACGACTGGATGGAGCTGGGCATTTACTGGCTGGCTGTCCTTCCTGACGCCACGTAGAGTTCGCAGCAGATATTTTTTCTTTGCACCTCTAGGAGAGAAAATCTGCTACTTAGGATTAAATTCTCCACGCTTCGAGTGGGAGGCGAGTGTCTTCACCACTAGGCCAGCATGCTGCTCTCTATATCTATCATCCATCCATCCATTATCTACCATCTATCTATGTATCATCTCTATCCATCCATATATCATTTGTATCCATCATCTCTATGTATCTCTCTGTCTATTATCTATCTGTCTGTCTGTCTGGCTCACTATCATCTATCTATGTCTCTACCTACCTACCTACCTACCTATCATCTATCTATCTACCTATTATCTCTGTCTGTCTATCATCTATATCTATCTATCTATCTATCTACAGTATCTATCTATCTATCTATCTATCTATCTATCTATCTATCTATCTATCTATCTATCTATCTATCTATCTATCTATCTATCTATCTATCTATCTATCTATCTATCTATCTATCTCTATCCATCCATATATCATTTGTATCTATCCATCATCTCTATGTATCTCTCTGTCTGTCTATTATCTGTCTGTCTGTCTGTGGCTATCATCTATGTCTCTACCTACCTACCTACCTACCTATCATCTTATCTATCTATCTATTATCTATCTGTGTCTGTCTGTCTGTCTGTCTGTCTGTCTGTCTGTCTGTCTGTCTGTCTGTCTGTCTGTCTATCTATCTATCTATCCAATCATCCTTGTATCAACTTCTCTCTCTCTCTCTCATCTTATCTATCCATCTATCACTATCACATTTTGGAATCGCCCATCTCCCTCCTAGAGGGGATTCTGGGGAGTGTACAATAAAATACTACAACATAAGCACAGTACATAAAAGTTAAAAAGAGGCAAGGATGCTAAAAACACTGTTAAAATTTAATTGAAAGGTGGGGAGAGGGCTTTCATGGCTGGCGCCCACCAGCCCCAAGGCTGCATGCTCTACTGTGCACACAGCCATGTTTTTACGCCTTTCCAGAAGGCCAGGAGAGGGGGGGCTATCTCACCTTGGGGGAGGAGAATGTTCCACAGGGCAGGGGCAACAGCGGGGGCAACGGCAGACCCCACCAGTCAGAATGTAAGAAGTAACTGATGGGATGCACAACATACATTTGCTCCCTGACTGGGTGTGACAGGCCGATGTAATGGGACCTTGAAGACGGTTCCATAGCTGTCTGACCCGCGGCCACGTAGGGCTTTCAAGATCATAACCAACACCTTGAATTGGGCCCAGAAGCAGACCGGCACCCAGTGTAGGTCATGCACCAAAGGTCTTAATGCGCCCTTCTCTGGGTGCCCAAAATTTCCTTGGTGACTCTGTTCTGTGCCAGCTGAAGCTTCCAGATACTCTTCACGGGTAGCCCCATGTACAGCGCATTGCAGTAGTCCAAACAGGAGATGACCAGGGCGTGAGTGACCGAGCGGAGAGAAGCCTCCCTATCCAGAAAAGGGTGTGAACTAGCACGCCACGCAAATTAGTAACTGCAAAGAGGCTGCACAAGCTGGGCGGCCGTCAGCCAAGTCCCCTTTTCTACAAGGAGTTCTGTAGTCCTAGGGTGGACTCACCTCCCGATCTGGTTTATGAGGCTTCATCAGCTCCACCGCTTGGCCCCTTTTCACCAGCATCACTTGAGAGTCCCCCAGCCAGGCCACGTACAACATGCTCTCTCGGATGAACGTCACAACGCCTGTGGTGCCACATCGCAAGCTCTAAAGAGAAAGCAGAGCCGTCACCGGGACGCACACGGAGAAAGTGGAGCCAAGCCGACAGTTTGAGAGACAGAACAAGAACCAAGCTACAGGTAGTCCTCGACTTTACGATGCCTCGTTTAATGACCGTTCAACGTTACAGCGACACTGAAAAAAAGGGACTTACGACCGTTTCTCACACTTAACGACCGCTGCGGCATTCCCTCCATGAAGACGTGATTGGCAACTGACTCATATTTATCACGACTGCAGTGTCCCAGGGTTATCTGTTCGCCTTCCGACAAGCAAAGTCAATGGGGAAGCCAGATTCACTTAACGACTGCGTTACTAATTTAACAATTGCAACGATTCACTTAGCAACCGTGGCGAGAAAGGTCGTAAAGTGGAGCAAAGTTCACTTAACAAGTATCTCGCTTAGCAACGGAAGGTTTGGGCTGGATTGTGGTCGTACGTCGAGGACTCCCTGTGCAGTTTTTTTATGTGTGTGTGTGTGTGTGTGTGTGTTGGGTGGAGCACCCGATCTACCAAATATAAAGCTGATGAGAGCTAAAGAGCTTGAAATAGCTATACTAGTCTTAACTCTTTGTCAGTTAATATTTTATCAGCAACATGTTGTCTGGGTTCCAATATTTAACTTGCTAATACATATTAAGTTCCTTTCTCTCTACCTCGTTTTTCTAGCCCTTGATAAAAAGTGTCCCATGTTCCAAAGTAGACTGAGTTTTCTTTCTCTTTCATTTTCAATGTCGCCCTGTCCATTCCTGCACAATCTAGAATTGTTTTTGATTAACTCTTCCTCTGTTGGTAATTCTGCATTTTCCCAATGTTGAGCGAATACAATTCTCGCCGCCGTTAATACGCGTAATATTAAATACATACATTCTTTCTCATAATTTCCTACAATTATACCTAACAAAAATAATTCTGGCTTGAAATTTATTATGTTTTTTTAATCATTTTCTCTAACCATATATGTATTCTTGACCAAAACCTTTTGGCTTTAGGGCAGGGGTCTTCCAACTTGGCCCTTTTATGACTTGTGGACTTCAACTCCCTGCCTGGCTGAGGAATTCTGGGAGTTGAAGTCCACAAGTCATAAAAGGACCAAGTTGGAAGACCCCTGCTTTAGGGCATGTCCACCAAAGGTGGTAGTATGTGCCTGGTTTTAGTCTACATTTCCAACCATTGCTAGACATATTTTTAATATATATATATATATTTTGAAGCCAGTGCAAGCAATAGATTTTACCAAGCTGTTTGAAACACCGATGTGCAATTCTGACTTGTAAATCCTCAAAGCCCCGGGCAAAATCATTTTGAAACCTGTCCTAATTTAATGACTTAAGGGCGGGAAAAAATTGAGAGCATCAGTGGATATGTGCCAAATCAGTACTGTTCAACACGAACGGTTATTTTTCTTCAACTTTTCTATTAGAGGAACAGACAGAAAGAGGGAAAGTCAATCGGCTTTGCTGTGATCAAAGCCATCCAAAACAGCTTCTGCCACAGGCAAAATTAAAGCTTTGGGAATTTGCTCAGAACAGGAAATATTGAGTCAACGACTTCCAGAGCCACCTTAAGGCCAGGGTAAGATCAGTTTGTCAAAGCATAATTATATGATGGCCTTTTTTATTTTCTCTACGGATTCCCCCCAATAAAACAGGATTCCAAAGCAACTCTCGTGCACCCAGTTTGACCGATCCCTTCAAAATTAATCAAAATCCCAATGGTGCTTTTTTCAGGAGGCAACTGGACTTTCTTGTTTTTTTCTTTGAAGACGTTTTGTGTCTCACTCAAGAAGCTTCTTCAGCTCTGACTGGATGGTGGGGAGTGGAAGGATTTATATTCCTTGCAGACAGACTCTAGAAAGAGTGCAGAGAAGAGCAACAAAGATGATCAGGGGACTGGAGGCTAAAACATATAAGGAACGGTTGCTGGAATTGGGTTTGTATAGTTTAATGGAGAGAAGGACGAGGGGGGACAGGATAGCAGTCTTCCAGTATCTCAGGGGCTGCCCCAAAGAAGAGGGAGTCAAGCTATTTTCCAAGGCGCCTGAAGGCAGGACGAGAAGCAACGGATGGAAACTAACCAAAGAGAGAAGCAACCTAGAACTAAGGAGAAACATCCTGACAGTTAGAACAATTAACCAGTGGAACAACCTGCCTCCAGAAGCGGTGAAAGCTCCAACACTGGAAGTTTTTAAGAAGAAACTGGACAACCATTTGTCTGAAATGGTATAGGGTTTCCTGCCTGAGCAGGGGGTTGGACTAGACTTCCAAGGTCCCTTCCAACTTTATCATTATTATTATTATTTGCATTCTTTCTGAGAGTCGTTGAGGCCACTTGGAGGTTTATTGGCGATATAGGAGAACAAACCCATCAGGACAAGATTCAGCGGTCCATCTGCATTTAAAAGACACAGGACGGACTTTCGAAGACAGCAAAGTCCACATTTTGGACAAGGAGGACCGCTGGCTTGAAAGAGGGGGCAAAGAGGCCATCTAGATCAAGACAGCCCTCCCTCAACAGAGGGGGAGGGACACGACATCGTCTATGTCCAGTCGACAACACAGTCCTTTCAGCAGTTCCAAGAAGGCTCCACGCCCATTTACTCTACTCAGGCGACCCTGAGGAGACAGACAAACCTCCAAGTGGCCTCAAGGACTCTCTAAAACAATGCAAATGACCGGCTGTCTGCAAGGAGTATAAATCCTTCCATTCACCCACCATTCGGTCAGAGCCGAAGAAGCTTCTGGGATAAGAAGCGAAACATCTTCAAAGATTAAAAAGGAAGTCCAATTGCCTCTTGAAAAAACACCTTTGGGATAAACGATGACCTGGATGGCTGAGAACCTCCACAGACTTCAAAATTTAATATTTTTTCTCCTTTGATAAAAGCCACCCATATTTGTTATTCAGACGGTTCCAAGCCGGGAAAAAGGATAAATTTCTTTGAAAGAGACAGAATCCACCTTTAAATTATTTTCGAAAAATTAAAACTACAAAACTGCAAAAAAAAAAAAAAAATACTCCTTCAATTCTCTCGGTGTCGGTGCTTGAAATTCCAGGCGAGCAGTCTGGCTTGCAGGAAAATAAATGAAGATATTGGGAGGTTTTCTTCCAAACAACTAGCCTGAAAAGACGTTTCCTTAACCAGTGGAACAGCTTGCCACCAGAAGTGGTGAATGCTCCAACACTGGAAGTTTTTAAGAAGAGACTGGACAGCCATTTGTCTGAAGTGGTATAGGGTTTCCTGCCTGAGCAGGGGGTTGGACTAGAAGACCTCCAAGGTCCCTTCCAACTCTGTTATTCTATTCTATTCTATTCTATTCTATTTTTCTTCCTTATTTTATTCTATTCTATTCTGTTTTAATTCTATATCTATATATCTACATCATCTATATTTATATCTATATCTATTCTATTCTATTTTTCTTCCTTATTTTCTGTTCTATTCTGTTTTAATTCTATATATATCTATTCTATTCTATTCTATATTCTATTCTATTCTATTCTATTCCATTTTTCTTCCTTATTTTATTCTATTGTTTTAATTCTTTTCTATTCTATTCTATTCTATTCTATTCTATTCTATTCTATTTTTCTTCCTTATTTTATTCTATTCTGTTTTAATTCTATATATATCTATATCATCTATATTTATATCTATATCTATTCTATTTTTCTTCCTGTTTTAATTCTATCTATATCTATTCCATTCCATTCCATTCCATTCTATTCTATTCTATTCTATTCTATTCTATTCTATTCTATTCTATTCTATTCTATTCTATTCTATTCTATTCTATTCTATTCTATTCTATTCTATTCTATTCTATTCTATTCTATTCTATTCTATTCTATTCTACTTTCAACCCGGGAGTGTCTTAAACCAGGAGTCCCCAACCCCCAGACTGTAGCTCAGTACCGGGCCGCAGCCTGTTCAGAACCAGGCTGCACAATCAGCAGGTGAGCGTGCCTGCGTGCATGCATGCAGCTCCACTTGCACAAGTGGCGGGTGAGCGCCTCCCCGTGGAAAGCTCCGTTTGCGTGAGCCGTGTGTGTGCATGCCTGCCACTTATGCAAATGGAGCTAGAAACGCGCTCTGGCCTCAAAGCAAGTAACCATCTCCTCTACACACACACACACACACGCCCTGCTGATGCCACCGCCATTGCCGGTCCAGACAGCTGGAAAGGCTGGGGACTGCTGCCTTAAACCAGGGCTTTTCAACCTTTTCACCCATTGTACCACTTTTAGGATATGCCAACATCCGAGTACCACCAGTCGCCTAGCAAGGGGTCAAAAACCTGATGACCAAAAGTGATGAAGTACAGGTAGTCCTCGACTTACAACAGTGCGCTTAGTGACTGTTCAAAGTTACAATGGCACTGAAAAAAGTGCCCCCCAAGCCACAGCCGAGCAAGAGACCTGCCTGCCCGCCCGCACTCTTCCTCCTGTCCGAGGTTTTCATTGTTCTGAGAATTTCTGTTGAGGATTGGCAGCGGGGGTGGGGTGGGGGGTGTTTGGCTTTTATTCCCCCCGTCTGCTGGGTGGTTGCAGCAGGTTTTGGTCACTTCATATGACCCTGGGACACTGTGACCGTCATAAATATGAATTGGTTGCCAAGCATCTGAATGTAAATCACAAGACCCTGGAGATGCTGCAACATTCCAGCTGATCAACGCTTCTTCTGGGCCCAGCAGAAGCGCCAGGATCAGCGCTAAGCTACAGCTGGAGCCTGGCGCTGATCCTGGCGCTTCCACTGAGCCCTGACGGTCCTGAAGAAGCGCCGATCAGCTGGAGCCTGGCGCTGATCCTGGCACTTCCACTGAGCCCTGACAGCCCTGCAGCTCCAGCTGTCTCTCACTCAGGCTTGTGCGGTGCTACCACCGGTTCAGCTCATTCCCCTCCCCCGCTACTTTTCTAGGATGGTCACGTACCACCTGCCAGGTGCCAATGTACCACAGGTGGTACCCCTACCACTGGTTGAAAAGCCCTGCCTTAAACAATGCCTCCAATGGCAGTTCCAGATTCAGTCCAGTCGTAAACCCAGAGCTGTCTGAAAACCCAAGTCCTGCCCGCTCGCTCAAGCAATGAAGCCAGTTCACCTCTCTGGCGGCCTTCTGCACGAAGCGCTCATCCGTCACCTGGAAGGCCTTGCAGAGGGCTTCAGCCGGGTCGTGCTGGAACGCTTCTTGGTGCACCAAATTCACGTGGAGGTGAATGGAGGCGTAGATGGCCGCGTCCACGCCTCCGTGGCCATCGAAGACGGCAAAATAGGCCTGCTCCTCTTGATCCTGCCAATCGAAAAAGGAGCAAATCAAGCAGAGAACAGGCTGAGGGGCAGCAGCTTCAGCAACCAGGTTATGCAGAGGGCCTTTAAACGAGAAACAAAATAAAGTCAGACTGGTACCGGCTAAAAATCATGCACAGAGGTTAGCCATCCTGTGGGAAAAGATGGACATGGAAACTGTCAGGGTGAAGAATCCAGACCGCCTGTTAAACTCCAGTTAAGCTGATTTATGGCCCATGCCTATACACAAATATCTAGTCAACGGTCAGCACTAAACTGGCGTTAGGTCAGTCAACAGAATTCAAGAAGGGCTGGACTTAAGACCAATTGTGAGAACGTAAAGATTCTAGGCTGATTACTCTCTTGACTCCACCCCCACCATCTCTGCCAGGCTCTGTCACTCCTTCTCCTATAGCCTAAGGGATTACCACAAAGAAGAGGGAGTCAAGCTATTCTCCAAAGCACCGGAAGGTAGGACAAGAAGCAATGGGTGGAAACTCATCAAGGAGAGAAGCAACCTGGAACTAAGGAGAAATTTCCTAATAGAGCAATTATGGAATGCAATATATGTATGTATATATGTTTGTGTGTATGTATATGTGTATATGTATGCTTCTCTCCTTGATGAGTTTCCATCTGTTGCTTCTTGTCCTGCCTTCAGTTGCTTTGGAGAATAGGTTGACCCCCTCTTCTTTGTGGCAGCCCCTTAAATACTGGAACGCTGCTATCATGTCCCCCCTTGTCGTTCTTTTCATTAAACTGGACATAACTAATTCCAGCAATCGTTCTTTGTACGCTTTAGCCTCCAGTCCCCTAATCATCTTTGTTGCTCTTCTCTGCACTCTTTCCAGAGTCTCAACATCTTTTTTACATTGTGGTGACCAAAACTGGATGCAGTATTCCAAGTGTGGCCTTACCAAGGTATTAACGCTTCAAGTGACCTTGATTGTATCCCTCTCTTGATGCAGCCTAGAACTGTCTTAGCTTTTTTGGCAGATGCAGCACACGGCTGGCTCATATTTAATGATTAGGGTCCTTCAAATAATTGTTGAGGAACAATAAAGGAAACTGCTTTGGATTAACTCAGAATGTCTAGAAGACCTCCAAGGTCCCTTCCAACTCTGATTCAGTTCCACTCCATTACATTCTATTCTAAATTCTATTCTAAATTCTATTCCGTTCCATTTTCCTATTCCTATTCTATTCTATTCATAGTTCTATTCTATTCCTATTCCTATTCTATTCATAGTTCTATTCCATTCCATTCCATTCTATTCTATTCATAGTTCTATTCTATTCCATTCCATTCTATTCAGAGTTCTATCCTATTCTATTCCTATTCTATTCCTAGTTCTATTCCATTCCATTCCATTCTATTCTATTATTATTATTTTACTATTCTATATTTCTATTCTATTCTATTCTATTCTATTCATAGCTCCATTCTATTCTATTCTATTCTATTCTATTCTATTCTATTCTATTCTATTTTTATTATTTTACTATTCTATATTTCTATTCTATTCTGCTCTGCTCTGCTCTGATCTATTCTTTCTTGGTTTTGGAGCCTGACAAATGGAGATATTGGTACGGAGTTCCTTCACACTTTAAGGTTCTCACCCCTACCCACCTTATTAAGCCTACATGCAATGAAAACATTTCCCTTGGCGCCCACCTGGATTCTAGCATTCTTGGCTACCTAGAATTTCATCTCATATGACTTAGCTGCCCTGCTGGCAGGACTCCTTTACCTCCAGGTTGAAGAGCGTGTTGAAGTCTGGAATGCAGACGTGCTTGTCTTCCATCTTGCGTCTCATGTTCTTAATGGCGTGGATCGATGTGTCGTAGTACCGATGTGGCTTTGTCTGGAGCGGGAAGTCCTTCAACCAGGTGCTGCAAGTGTTGTGAAGCTTGCTGAAGACTGTGCGGGCCAACTTCTCCGTCTCCACCTCTGAAAGGAGAGCCAACACCACGTAAGCACGAAAAAAACTCCTCGTTGAAATACAAAGGAATATCATCTTGCAGGAGTAAATCCCTTTTCCTCTGATGTTTTGCCGAAAGAGTTAGAGACAGGCAGTCCTCCACCTACGACGGTTCCTTTAGTGACCGTTCAAAGTTACAACCGCAAAGGGACTCGTGACCATTTTTCACACTGATGACCGTTGCAGCGTCCCTGCCATCACCCAATCAAAATTTGCTTGGCCACTGGCCTGTATTCATGACGGTCACAGTGCCCCTGGGGGTCATGTGATGCCCTTTTGTGAACTTCTGACAAGTCAGTGAGGAAGCCAGAGGCACTTAACAGCCCTGTTGCTAAATTAACAACTGCAGGGATTCGCTTAACCACAAGGGCAAGGTGGATGTACAAGTATAATATAGGGGGTACCTTGCTCAATAGTAGCAACTGTGAGAGGGATCTCGGAGTCCTAGTGGACAATCACTTAAACAGGAGCCAGCCGTGTGCTGCAGCTGCCAAAAAAGCCAACACAGTGCTGGGCTGCATTAACAGAGGGATAGAATCAAGATCAGGTGAAGTATTAATACCACTTTACAAGGCCTTGGTAAGGCCACACTTGGAATACGGCATCCAGTTTTGGTCACCACAATGTAAAAAAGATGTTGAGACTCTAGAAAGAGCGCAGAGAAGAGCAACATAGATGATTAGGGGACTGGAGGCTAAAACATACTAGTGGACAATCACTTAACCATGAGCCAGCAGTGTGCAGCAGCAGACAAAAAAGCTAATACAATCCTGGGTTGTATAAACAGAAGCATAGAATCAAGATCAGGCGAAGTATTAGTACCGCTTTAAAAAACCCTAGTGAGACCACACCTGGAATACTGCAGCCAATTTTGGTCACCATATCACAAAAAAGATGTTGAGAGTTTGGAAAAAATTCCGAGAAGAGCAACTAAGATAATCAAAGGCCAAGAGACTAAAACATACAAAGAACGGCTGCAGGACTTGGGTTTGGCTAGTCTAAGGAAAAGAAGAAATGGGGGTGACATGATAGCAGGGGTCCAGTATCTGAGGGGCTGCCCCAAAGAAGAGGGGGTCAAATTATTCTCCAAAGCACCAGAAGCAGGACAAGAAACAATGGTTGGAAACTGATCAAGGAGAGAAGCAACCTGGAATTAAGGAGAAACTTCCTGACAGTGAGGACAATTAACCAGTGGAACAGCTTGCCTCCAGAAATCGTGGGCGCTCCATCACTGAAGGTTTTTAAGAAGAGACTAGACAGTCACTTGTCTGAGATGGTGTAGGTTCTTCTGCTTGAGCACGGGGCTGGACTAGAAGACCTCCAAGGTCCCTTCCAGCTCTATTCTATTCTATATCTAATAACCAATCGGCTTAGCAATGGAAATTCTGGTCCCAATTGTGATCGTAAATCGAGGACTATCTATAACTGATTCTCTACAATCAGTGCAGTAATACACTGAATTGGAAACACTTCCACACTAAGATGGGGCAGACCCCGTCAAGCAGATACTGGAGAGATTCTGGAATTACAGAAAGAAAATTCTTGTCTTGCCTCCTGGTGCCTCCAAAGCACTTACAGGCAGGACAAGAAGCAATGGATGGAAACTAATCAAGGAGAGAAGCAACCTGGAATTAAGAAGAAATTTCCTGACAGTGAGGACAATTAACCAGCGGAACAGCCTGCCTCCAGAGGTTCTGGGTGCTCCATCACTGGAGGTCTTTAAGAAGAGTTTGGACAGCCAACTGTCTGAAATGGTATAGGATCTCCTGCTTGAGCAGGGGGCTGGACTAGAAGACGTCCAAGGTCCCTTCCAGCTCTTTTCTGATTCATTGAAATTGTATAGGTTCTCCTGCTTGAGCAGGGGGTTGGACTAGAAGATCTCCATGGCCCCTTCCAGCTCTATTCTGATTGATTGAAATTGTATAGGATCTCCTGCTTGGACTAGAAGACCCCCAAGGTCCCTTCCAGCTCTATTCTGATGGATTGGAATTGTATAAGTTCTCCTGCCTGAGCAGCGGGGTTGGACTAGAAGATCTCCATGGCCCCTTCCAGCTCTATTCTGATTGATTGAAATTGTATAGGATCTCCTGCTTGGACTAAAAGACCCCCAAGTCCCTTCCAGCTCTTTTCTGATTCATTGAAATTGTATAGGTTCTCCTGCTTGAGCAAGGGGTTGGACTAGAAGATCTCCATGGCCCCTTCCAGCTCTATTCTGATTGATTGAAATTGTATAGGATCTCCTGCTTGGACTAGAAGACCCCCAAGTCCCTTCCAGCTCTATTCTGATGGATTGGAATTGTATAAGTTCTCCTGCCTGAGCAGCGGGGTTGGACTAGAAGACCTCCAAGGCCCCTTCCAGCTCTATTCTGATGGATTGGAATTGTATAAGTTCTCCTGCCTGAGCAGCGGGGTTGGACTAGAAGACCTCCAAGGCCCCTTCCAGCTTTATTCTGATGGATTGAACAGAAACAGAAATGCTCACTTCTGCTGGGGAGGAAGACGTGTGCTACAGCCGGAGAGAAAAAGTCCACTTGCTCTGTTGATGCTCGGAAGGGCAGCCCCCCTGGGGATGGCACACACTGTGTGAGCATCATCAATAATTACTGGTTCACCATTTTTTTTAAAAAAGAGTCCTCTGGGGTTTATCCACCCCCATGCAGCTGTAAATTACTCATCAATCCTTAATGCTGGAGTGCTGTGCTGGGGCTGAGTCAGCCGTCATCCTGTCTAGGTTTACCACCAAGTGCTCCTTCCCCCCCCCTGCCTGGAAGCCTAAAATGGCAGCGGAAGTCCCAATCCAGCCACTTTACTTCACAAGGGTGGGCTGGTTGCCCAGGAATGGCTGCTTAAGAAACGACCGCTAGTTTGCAGTCTGCTGCACGCCGTCTTTGTATGTAAAACTCCCGTCTTGTAACAAATGGCAGAAAAGGTGACAAACGGCAAGGGCCGGGAACTGTTAGGTTTGTGGGGTCCCTGGTGGCTCTCTGAGCTTGGTGGTTTTCTTGCAGATGTTTCAAGACCCAGCTGGGTAGCTATGCTGAAAGAGAGTGGGATGGGAGGAGGAGGAGGAGGAGGAGGAGGAGGAGGAGGAGGAAAATATTTGTAGCTCAGGGTCGAAATGAGGGGCCCTTGTCTCTGAGCTTCGGAGTTTCCTTGCAGATGTTTCATGACCCAACAAGGGAACATCATCAGTATCAGAAGGGAGTGGGGTTTACTCTCTGTTTATATACGTGTTTTGCCCTGTCAGTGTTGGTAGGAGAGTTCTGGCTGAATCCCACCACTGCATGGAAGATTAGATAGATAGATGGATGGATGGATGGATGGATGGATGGATGGACGGACGGACAGACAGACAGACAGACAGACAGACAGATACACAAATGCACAGATAGATAGACAGGTAGGTAGGTAGGTAGGTAGGTAGATAGATAGATAGATAGATAGATAGACAGACAGACAGACAGACAGACAGACAGACAGACAGACAGACAGACAGACAGACAGACAGACAGATAGATAGATAGATAGATACAGAGATACAGAGATAGATAGATATATAGACAGACAGACAGATACACAAATGCAGATAGACAGACAGATAGATAGATAGATAGATAGATAGATAGATAGATAGATAGATAGATAGATAGATAGATAGATAGATAGATAGATAGATAGATAGACAGACAGATACACAGAGATAGATAGACAGACATACACAAATACAGATACACAGATACAGATAGACAGACAGACAGACAGACAGACAGACAGACAGACAGACAGACAGACAGACAGACAGACAGACAGATAGATAGATAGATAGATAGATAGATAGATAGATAGATAGACGGATAGATAGACGGATAGATAGACAGACAGACAGACAGACACACAGATAGACATGGATGGATGAATGATAGACAGAGAGAGAGACAGACAGACAGACAGGGATGGATAATAGATATAGATAGATAGACAGACAGACATGGATGCAGTGGTGGGATTCAAATATGTGAACCACTGGTTCTCTGTGTGGATGCCGTTTCCAGAAGTCCATTCTGAGCCTGGGCAACAAAAAATTAGCTACCGGTTCTGCTGAACTGGTGCGAATTGGCTGAATCCCACCATTGCATGGATGGATTGATGATAAGTAGGTAGGTAGGTAGGTAGGTAGGTAGGTGATAGACAGACAGACAGATAGATATTTTGGGCCCAATTGCGTGGTCGTAACTAGAGGACTACCTGCCTTGGGTTCTGTAACTGCAAGAACACACTTGGAGTACAGCAGCTGCTAACAACGTCCAGCATCCTCAAACGTTCCACGTCAAGGATGAGAGCCTGAGGAATGTCAGCCATTCTCGGAGACTGTCAAACGTTTAATGCTGGTTTCACCCATCTCAATTTGAAATTAATGAGGGCTTGTACAGCTGAACAAGAACGGATCCCGTTTCCTTCACCACAACAGAGCGACCTCAACACAAACGCAGCCAAAAATAAGCCCACTGTCCTTGTTTATTTATTTATTTATTTAAATCTTTTTGAACAAAAAAAAAGCCAAGGGAAGGAAAGATGACAATCTATTTTGCAGGCTGAACAACAAACGGCCCGTCAGCGTGTCCTAGAAACGGTTGCCTCCCGTCCCTAACTGGCGTTTGGGGATCTTACTCAGCAAGAACTCCAGAGTGAAAAAAAAAACCAGACGTGATCTTGAACTGGCGGGTGGAAACTTTTTTTTTGCTGCGTTGTGTTAAGTGTGTAAAAAAAAAAAAAAAAGAGGAAGCTTCTTTCGCTTTTTTAATAAAACCTCCTGTATCGTGACGCCGTACCCGTTTAAAAAAAAAAAATCA